TAGAACTTGGGGAAAATGAAGAGAAGAAAAATGGAGAGGAGCCGGATCCGTTGAGGACATGTACATACTATGAAAGATTCTGATAAGATGGATATAGATCGGGGCGGATGTAGTTCTATAATATCTGAATTCAATAGTTTTTGCATAGTACAAATTTATATGTAAACAAATTATAAAAAATAATAGGTCTGAATCCAATATTTTGAATATACATAATAAAGTTTTGAAAAATCTTGTATCTACTAATAATATAGTATCAACTATCAACTATAGTGATGTGTACTATACTTATAAGAGACAAAATTTAACAAGGTATTAAATATATTGAAAACAAAATGAAAAGCGAAATAAACAATTTTCAACATAAAAACTCTTCACATTTAGAAGTAGTATCTTCAAAAGGGAAGAAATACTCAAAAAACACTAATTAATGTATCTTAAAAACAATAGATCATCAATAACTGTTGGTGAATCGATACATAAAAATCTATTCTACACTAACAAGATCATCTTCTGTTGGTAGAGTGTAGTCACTCTTCGGCCTTGTAGGATCATCATTCTCGGTAACATATCTCGTCTTGACCTTGTTGAGACCATACTTTCATAACAGTGTTGCATATCTTGTGCGAAGATAGTCACTTCGAAAATCATTAGATGGGATGTTGATTTCATCGCTCGGAAATTCAACAAAACAGGAAAAGGCATTCCGCAGTCACTACAAAAAAGAAGAAGATATATTATAAAAACAGATCAAATGTGTAAGTAAAAGAAAAATTGATTCAATAGTTACAGACTGTCCCTTTCTTGTTGCATAATATCTTGAACATATTCCACCTCAAACGAATGTTGTGGATCCAATAGTTCAATAGGGGAAGACATAAATTTAAAACAAAATAAATAAATACTAAAATACATGGTTCAAAATACATACCCTGGTATAGTGTAGGTCGAGATATGGCAGGGGCAACCTTTCTACCTCTTTTTTTTTGTTGTTGTTTTTCAACCTTTGCTTTCGATGATGCAGGTTGATGCATGTACATCCTTTTTCGCTTTTACCTTCTCTGAACTTTAATTTGCCATTGTTAAAGGATCCTGCAACCTTTTAGATATGTTTTTTGTCCATTTTGAATTATCAGAATCAAAGATTCGATTAGTATTAGGTATAACTATTTGGGTAATCTCAATGCTAATGAAGGAGCATCCATATGTATTAGAAAAAATGATGAAACAAGAAAAAATAAAGAAAAAATTTGAAGAAGATGAAAGTACCTACAGATCTGAAATTAGTTGACTGGAGAGAGAAATCTCTTGAAATTCAAATTTTGATTAATGTGATAACTGATTTGATTATGTGAGTGAAAAGAGGGAGAAATTGAAGGAGTAAATATAGAAGTTAGAAACGTGTTGTAGTGGAAATGAAATAATGTATCCGGCAGTTGGATTTTGAGTGAAAAGAAGATATTTTCATATTATCTCCAGTCTCTCCCATGCTTAAATTTGAGTATGCATAAAATGAACGTTCATAAAAATCAACATGTCAATAACAATAATAATATTACAAAATATATGTGTTGAGAAGCAGTAGAAACCTATTTATCTCATTCTTCATCAACTTGGTAGCGTGACACAATATACATTTACGATAATTTTATTACTCCATTTCCTTCCTTAAATTCATAAAGATCTCAATTTATTCTGCATAACCTCAATTTTTATAATCCATCTTACAAATTTGTTATTTTTTATTTGATAAAACTTACCAATTTTTTTATTATCAATTTTCAAAGCTACACTTATTCATTTAATATAATTTGTCAGTTTTCCTTTTCTGTTTTACATCCATGTTTAAGCATGTAAATGTTAATTGTCCGTATAAAAAAATGCAAATATTAATTATTGCCAACAATATAACATTGGGAGAGATTGTTATCAATTTATCGCAAAATATTAATATTGAATTTAATAATATCAAATTAATTAATTTATCATGATATATAATATAATATTTTTTAAAATTAAAATTATCGTACCAAAACTTGTGCCATGTCCACCGTAGACACATGGGTGCCACAAATTGAAAGAGGCAACACATGATTTTTAAAATAAATTGAACCCCATTAAATTAAATGATGAAACATATATTTTTAAAATAAATTGAAGCCCCATAAATTAAATGATGAATAAAAGAAGTGAAACGTGATTCCATAATTTTTTTTCCAGTCAATCCAAATGAAATTTTTTCAAAAAATTATTCTAATAGCTTTAGTAAATTTTAGAATAACTTACAGTAAATGAGAAAAATAATTTAAAAGAAAAATTTATAAGAAAAAAAAAACATGTTAACTTGAAGAATTTAACAGTAGAGAAATAAGAAATATTGCCTCTAATAATGTAATATAACTAATTGGTATATAATTGAAAGAACGAATATGATGTGTCTTACACAAAAAATACATTAACGACGGATGACTTTTGTCGTTAAACAATAGAAATTTGTTGCAATTCATATTTAACGATAGTCAATAGATGACTTTTGTAATTAAATAACAAACAAGAATTTAATGACGGATTAATTATCTAAAAATCTATAGGTATGGACTCTATTCAGTACTAATAATTAACGACAAATTTCATAGCTAATTTCCTATTTTCTAGTGTTCGATTTCTCATGGTTAATGACTTGAGAATAACATTAATCAACCAATAAAAGCACCTATATATATATTTATTTATTTTTATATATATTTTTTTTTTTTGCACCTATATATCTTTCAAGCTCCATACAACAATCTATTTTCCAACTAGTACATATCACCAATATATATACATATATATTTTATTTTATTTTATTTTTCTTTTAATTATTAAGTCTTATTTTTTGTCAAGTCTATATATTGATTCTAAGAAATTGAGGATCTTTCGAAACAACATATTTTCATATGATTTTAAGTCTACCTCGTATCCTTTCAACACCTTCAGTCATCATTCGTCGAAACTGGTCATTTTTAATCTCATCTAATCTTGTATAATTACACATTTATTTTTACACCATTAGTACATATAATTTAAATCTAATTGAAAAATTAGGTAGACAGTTTATTGTTCAACTCAGGACAACTAAAATCTAAGTTATGTACATAAAGATTTTTTGCAAGCTGGAAAAACTGTGAATAAATTATTTATTACAGACTTTGCTAGCTTGTGTCATAATCAATTGGAGTAGTAATCAATTTTGTCCCTAAAAACGTACTCTTTAATTTGTCCTTAGGCTTATACAGGTATTTGGTGGTACAAAAAACAAGTCATGGTTGATGTTTTCAAACTTTGTACTTTAATTTCCCCATTTAATGGAACATGCTACTGCCCAACTATATATGTTGACACCACGATTGTACATTTTTGTCTTCAAAAGGACATATTGCACTACATATTTAATTTATTATAAAGTTTATAATTGAGATCCATGAGTGACACAAGTTAATATAAATATTGAAATTATGTTACTATGAGTATATTCAATTTTTTCAATTTATGTGGCTTCAACAAAATAGTTTGACATCATTTTCAGATAATAACAATTTTAAATTTTGATATGATATCGTTCTCCTCAATTTAACTCTTTATTTATTTTTTAAATTTTTTTTTAACCCTTTAGAACATAGAATATAATTGATATTTCAAATTTTATATAGACAAAATAAATTATATAAAAAAATTTTAAAAAAATAGTATCTTTAGCATGTAGAGAGAAACAGTAAACATGAAAAATGGCTGTTTGGAGACAACCGACACACCAATTGGAAAGGTTTGTAATTCTTTTTTAAAGCAAACCATGGCTAGCTCTTACTAATAAATCAAAAGGTTGCTTAAAGTTAGTTTCCATTTTAAGTGTGCATGTGCATGTGCCCTTCCTATTCAAGGTCTCTGCCAATTACACTCCCAGCCATTGTGATAGCAGAAATAATAGAGAAGAGAACAGTAGAAATAATAAATAATATAATTATGTTGAAGTAAAAAGAAACAACAGATAATATTAAAATCGAAGAATGTGTTAGTATGAGAGTGATAATATACTAATACTGATAAAGAAACTAAACAATATGATGAGTTGCAACCTTATAGGTGTGTTATGTTTTATATATTTGATCATCTCTTCCCAATATATTTCTTCGACCCACTTTTACCTCGGTTCATCTTAGTCCACCCCTTACACTTTTTTACTGAGATATATGTGTATCTCCTTTTTATAGATGCTCAAATCATCTAAATCTTACTTTTCTCATCTCGTCAAACAGACACCTTAAAACTTAAAAAGTGCACGTTCAAACAAGCTTACCCCCATCCACCTAGCTACAATGAGAGAAGGAACAGCAATGACTTTGCCGGAGTTCATTTAATTGTCGATTTCTACGCTCTCTTATTTAATATCTTATTTTTGGTGAGCTTAAAATATATTATGTCCTCTCACACCTCCTTACTAAGACATTTGTGCTTTTCTTGTCCTCTTCACATATTCAAATATCTCAGTCCCGCTTTCCGTATCTTGTCCATCACAGAGGTCACTCTCACCTTGTCTTGAATATCTTTATTTCTAATCTTATCTCTTCTAAGTATGTCCACACATCCATCTAAGTATCTTCAGTTTCTAAATGCACTCGTCCCTATACAACATAATTGGCCTAACAATCATTGAACTTACCAAGTCTTGATGACACTTCCTATTGGAGATGGAACAAGTTATCTAATTAAGCTCTAATCTTGATTTTAATCCCAAAATTATAACCTGTAAGATATCTCAATTTTAAACCAAACGACACCTAATTGTAGTGGAAGCTAGTTAGTACTAAGTAGTAGTATTTACTTTCACCTTTTTTCTTTGGAATTATTCCATCTAAAGTAAAAAAAGATAAAAAGTGCCAATAAGTCCAAAAACCAAAACACTATAAGAAGCTAAATTCTGTAGCTTCCTCTCCTACTGTAGAAAACTCCCATGGAAGAAAAAGATGAATCTCCCATTATTTTCAACAACAATCAAACAACTTCTTCTTCATCTCTAACAAAAAGACCAATAACCTTAAAATCATCAAATCAAGAAACCAATCACAACAAGAAAATCAAATCCAGTACTGAAAAAACCAAGAAAATTGATGACTCAAAACACCCAATTTACCACGGTGTTCGAAAACGGAGCTGGGGAAAATGGGTGTCTGAAATTCGCGAGCCGAGGAAAAAATCTAGAATTTGGCTTGGTACTTTTTCTACTGCTGAAATGGCTGCCAGAGCACATGATGTAGCTGCAATTGCCATTAAGGGTCACTTAGCTTTACTCAATTTCCCTGAATTAGCTCATCAATTTCCTAAACCATCTTCGAAATGCGCTAAAGATATTCAATCAGCAGCCGCTAAGGCTGCAGCTTTGGATATTTTACCAAGAAATTTTATGGAAAAACAGAGTACAGATGAGTTAATGGAAATGCCCTGTTCTCCTGAAGAAATAGAGTCAACAGAATCATCTTTGAGGAGTAATAACGAAGACCCTTTTCTTGATTTGCCTGATCTTCTTATGGATCTTACTCAAAAATTTGATAAATTCTATTACGACAATTCACCATGGGATTTGGCTGGAGCTGTAAGCAATGACTCTAATTACTGTGAATTTTGGCCTGAAGAAGATCTTTGTTTGTGGGACTACATCCTCGAAGCCCCACAACTGTAATAGTATAATTTTTCAACGAAAGGTATTAAACTAAATGGACGCATATTGAAGGTCTCTAAATGTGGGATTATAGCAATGGAACTGCATTCGAAATCCCATTATTGACATCAATATAATTTTTCGACGAAAGGATTCAGTCGAATGAAAAATAATTGAAGATCATGGATGAAGTCTCTGCAGTAGTATGCTTAGTAACAAAAAGTGAAACTGACAGTAATTTTTGTTTTTACCTCATTGAATTCATGAAAAATAAGTACTCTCTTTATACGAGGGGAGCCTTGCGGCAATAATAAGTACCGTAACTTATTATAAACTATTTCCAATATATATATATATGATCTCTACATTAAATCTTGAGGTGCAGTTCCTTTTCTAATTTTATTAACGCGAAATGCTTTGTGAATCAACCTGGCGTGAACCTCTCATTGTAAAATGTAAACAAATGAATAAGTTGTTTTCTTGATTTTAATTTTAATTTTTCATTTGCTGCATGCATACACTTATTATTTTTGTTTTGTTTAGCTTGCTTCTTTTGGTAAAAGTAATTAAGGGGAATCCTAATTTACCAACAATAGAAGAAATACAACTGGAAGCATGTGAAATTTATCATTTCATGCACGATGTTTGTCAGATTTTTATAATATTTTAAATACGTAAAATATTTTATTTTGATTTTCTGCAAATCAGAGCTTATATTCCCTGAAAAAGAGAAAGAAAAAAACATGTGGAATAAAAGTTTGGCCACTTCAGTTGTAAACAGAAAACGGCGGTGAGATAAGAGGTTTCCCTTTTTTCTTTCACTTTTCATTTCTTTTCTTTGCCTTTTTTTTTAAAAAAAATAACTCATGAATGGACAACTCTTTAATTTTTATTATAAAAAAAATTCCTTAAAGAAATATTTGTATTTTCCTCCATACCAAACTCATGTAGAAGTCGTTTGACAGAGTATATAAGCAAAAATAATGTATGCGTTAATTCTTCGCATTAGTAATACCTTGTTTTGTATATTTTTTCCATGCTATATATAACTAATGAATTATTTATTTGGTAGGGTATATAAAAATAATATTAAATAGAATGTATTAGTAATACTCGCATTAGTTACGTTTGTATTAATTATATATAGATAATTTTTATACATTGTTTTGTTTGGTGTAATAAAATTTGCATGCATTGCATAAAAATATTAATTTACAAAAATATCCTCCACAATTATGGTGGAAAAGGTGTAAAAAGGGTTTTGTGGAGTAATTAGGTCTTAAATCATGCTAATGCATGCATTAAATCCCTTGCATTACTAATATCTATAAATTTGTGATATTAATAATACACACCGTAATACACAATAGAGTGTATAACTAATACATAAGTTGAAAAACTGTACCAAACATGCATTATTTCTCCTAATACACTCTATCAAACGACCCCTCTAATCTATTGTGTATTAAGGTGTGTACTACTAATGCCATAGATTTTTAGGTATTAGTAATGCAAGGGGTTTTAATGCATGCATTAGCCCAGGTAAAAAGCTCATTTCCCCTCAAAGTCTTTTTACATCTTTTCCATCATAATTGTGAAGGGTATCTTTGTAAATAAATATTTTTATGCAATGCATACTATTTTTAATACACCAAACTAAATAATGTATAAGATATAATCTATGTATAATTAATGCAACACACTCTTGTTAGTCCGCTGAAAACGCCTCATTTAATTAATCACATCACTAATTAGAAGAAAAGGAATATAATTTATTTATTTTTAAAAAAAGTATCAAATGACTTGTAATTTTTCTAAACTTATGTACGTCCTTTGAAACGTCTCATTTAATTAATTACATCACTAATTAGAAGAAGAATAGAATTATTTTTTAAAAAAGTAATAAATGACTTGTAATTTTTGTAAATGTCAAATATTTTGAACAAATTAATTGGCCATCATGATTTACTAACATTTGAGACCGGAAGGAATATTTGAATTTGAAATGTTTATATATGCACATGCCTTAAAATTAAAATAAGATTAGTTAAGACTCTCACATCGTAATAAAAACAATATACATAAACTTATACAAAATCATAGTTTAGGATACTAAAGGATACACTTGAATATCCCAAAATTAGGAAATGCATTCATTATTTATCGTTTACTACGGAGACTTATACCATCATTGTCCTTTCTCTTTCGATATATGTCAATTTCATTAATTTCCTTAATGTTCTATCAATACAAATTATTGGTTGTGTCAAGGATTAATAAAACATACCAACACTACTAAATTGATTTGCATTGATAACAGATAGTCAGATATAAACCAATATAGATTGTGATGTAAGCTAGCAATTATATAATTTATACTAATGGTACAAAAAAAAGTATTGAAAATACCCCTAAATTTGGTGTGAATTGTTAGTTTTATCTCTAAATTATTGACAGTCTTGAAAATATTTCTACTTGATTAACTGAATTTAAATACACTCATGATCTTGCAACATGAGTAAAATACACCCCTAAATATTTCTCGTCAAGTTTAGGGGTATTTTCAACACTTCTCTCGATTTTTTATTAAGAGTCGCATACTCCTACAAACATTTAAGATTATTTGTTATGTCATGTTGTATATCGGAGGTGTATCTTGTCACGCCCCGAGCCTACACCTTGGGCGGGACTGGCACTCGAAGACCATTGCTAGCCCCAAGCGAACCCTTGGCCTGACTTACTTAACTCAACGGAAGACTCTACGCATGATTATAATGATCAAATGAACTTACTCAAATAGCTTAATAGTATAGCTTAGAATGTTAGAAGAATTAAACATTCAACTTTGCCAAAATGGCAACCCAAGTCTTAACATAATATAAAATGAGAAGACTAAAGAACTAATAACTGATTGTCTATGAAGCCTCTAAAACAACTGAGAGGGATATTGGGACAAACCCCTCAACATCCTAATGAACTAAACTAGAAAGCAAATAAAGGAGTCCTCCAAAAGCAAGAAGGCTCACCACAGACTCCGAGTGCTCAAGCTGGATCAACGAGGCGTTGGATGCTGATCCTGGTTACCTGTGTCTGCATCATAAGACGATGCAGGCCAACTGGCATCAGTACTTTGAATGTACAAGTATGCGAGTTGGAATGCTAAACAATACATAGGCTTGAAAGGATTCTGAAAGAAACACTTACCTTGGCTCTTTTCAACTCATGAATACTTAACTCAAAATAAAGCAATGAAACACATGTAATATATGAAAAGCTTTATAAAACAACTGAAAACAACCTTAGTTCGTTAAAGACAAAACAATAACAAACTTAACTTTACTCATTTAGAAAGTAATATAACTTCTGTGAGAGATTCTCTAACCGACAACCATCACTATGAGCTTAAGTGATGGTACAACGTTTTACCTCACGTTGCCAAGGACCGTCCTATACCTTGTCACCAGTATAGAACCTAAACTACTAAGTGGATTCACTAGTCTATGCTAAAAGCACTAAGGAATCATCTAAAAAGTATGATCCTTTTTCTGCCCATGATGGCTACATGGTTTATGGAGACTTGAGTTAATATGAACTCGCATCCCCATATCGGTGCTCAATACTACTCCCAAAAATATACTTAGCTCATATGTTTTAGAATAACTTCTTTCTTTGGTTTGAGATAATTACTCAAAACTTAGCTTAAAAGTCCTCTTGGAATCGATGATCCCTTTTCTTGCTCAAATGTGAAAACATTTATAAACTCTTTGGGAATACTTAGTTCCCTAATAGCTTTTAAGGAATGAACCCAACTCTTTACTATTTGCTTAACTTGAAACTTAAGTCTTAAAATAAAGTTAAAACATTTGTAAAAGACCCTTGAAAACCTTGATGAACTTCACTTGACTTGACTATTAACTTTACTTGAATTTACTCTTTACTTTCCTTGAATTTGAATTATGGATTCAAGGATTATGATTTGTGCTAGGAAAGGTCTCTTGATGTTTAGGAATGATTTGGACTAGCATTACTTGAGAAAAGTTACGAAATCACCGTCTTGAAACAAGTCCGCGACGCGGAGGTGTTTCTAAATAAATGGTCGCGAAATTAAATTTGAGACAGAGGAGTCCGCGTCCTCTCCACGACGCGGAGCAGATTTTTGTTCACAGGGGGAACAAGTCCGCGACGCGGACTTGTTTCATGAACCTTACTCGATTTTTTCCTTCTTCGTTTTTCAGCCTCAAACCACCTAAATTCGATTATCTTCCTCAAATTCGTTTTAGATCCTGATACCCAGCGTATGTACTCAAGAACCTAACTCAAAGTAACTCTAAAACACAATATAAAGATCTCGGAAACTCCACAATTCAACCCAATTCAAGAACAACATTCAAATTCAAGAATTCATATCAAGAACATCAACTTTCAAACTCTTTTAGGACGAATTGCGTTGAACTAAACATGTTTGGCGCGTGAGTGAATGAACCCAACGCTATGAGAGACTCACATACCTTGTAGGATCAACTTCTTGGCGAATCCACAACCAAAATCGATCGTCCTTGGCGAAACTTGCTTTTCTTCTTTCCTTTCTCTTGCGTTCTTTCTCCAAAAACCCTAGCTCTAATTTTTAAAAGCGTAAACTGAACTAACTCGGTCTTGACCCCAATTATTTTACTAAAAACGGATTTAATTAATTGGGTAAGGAAAAGACCAAACTATCCTTAAAAATTCGGATTCGGACATTTCCTTAATCCAACAGCCCAACTTATAAAGGACGTAACTCACTCATACAAACTCGGAATTGTGCAAACTCGGTGGCGTTGGAAATATAAATCCAAGAGCTTTCCAACGATATCTAGAACTACACCTAAATCATCCTGAGCTAGGAGTTATGGTCGATTGAAGTTGACCAAAATCTCAACTTTAACTTGCTTAAAAATTTCCAGATTTCCTTGTACTTTCCAAAAATGATTATTTCAAGTTCTTAGCTTCTTTCTAGCTATTTCAAGTTGCGAGATGTTACATATCTAAGTTTAATTAGTCAAATAGAGGGATATTTTTAAAACTATCAATAATTCAAAAATAAAACTAATAATTCATGTTAAATTCAAGGTTGTTTTCAATACTTCTCTCCTGTGTAAAATAAAAAATTAAACTAAGGTGGGCCAATGCCTTGCAACAGAAGAGAAGAGCGAGTGTGATGCTATAAAGTGATATAAGTAGCAATAAGAGACCAATCTTTGTCTTTCTTTATGACTTTTGAGTTGGAAACCCAATCTAATTTAGTGCTTTTTTTCCTTAATCATTGAGAT